AATTTGTCCCGGCAGTATTACGAAAAGAGTTGGCCTTTTCAATTTTACAAATATAAACAAGAATTTAACAATTTTCGTTCACCATACCAATTCTTGGTGAACATTTTAAAAGGTCCTATCTGCTTTGATCGATTCTCTTCATCGACCTTCTCTTTTCCCAACCAAACAAATGTCACACTATGTTTACCACATTGTTTGATAAAGGAGGTTCTTATCTAGCGTCTAAAACATCAAATAAGGGAAATGGATGTAATGTCGACCTAAATGCCCCTAATTTTGCCCCACATCAGCCACAGACAAACATACATAATACTACCACCGTCTGTTGAGTACACTGTGGTGGGCAATACGATAAACAGATGGCGGTAGTGTGTAAACGTCAAACGCAAGGGAATTGACTATGCTCGCCACAGGTGGCGGTACTACCAACTATGATACTTTTAAATTGACCGTTAAATGCTTGTGATCGCGCACGGGCTGGACCTTTTCGACGTTGTGTTGTGAAAATAAAATACACGACCGAATATTTTGGCCGTCCTGTCATGGCAGAGGCATACGTACTATTGACTTTTTATTTGTTATCGTCTATCATTCAATACAATATTAAACAGTACAGAACAAGACTATAGAGACTGTATATACAAGTAATGACATCTGTGTGTGGATGGATACATCTTTAGTGTGTAGGGTAGTTACACATATGTTCGACGTGTTCTCAAACAGCTTATTTGATGAAAAACTTGCGAGTGTTATGTCGGTTTGTATGTGATTCAGCAATCGACAAATTTTCAATAGCAACCAAAAATATCTATTAGTACCGTCCCAATGACGCGTTCATCCAGATAAAATTGATAAATAGCAGATTTTTAGCGATGGGCCCAATCTTAGATCCATAGTTCAATATTAGAGCCATTTCCCCTACAACAGGAAATGGTTTTACAGCTGAGTTATTAATGAAAGACAAAGTCGATTAAGAGAATCGATTAATGTAGATACGAACTTTTGAAATGTTTATCTAGAATTGTAATATCAACAATACAACATTAGGATGGCATTGCACTTAAATATCGATTCACTTTGTAAATTAAACGGACATCTTCCTTAGCATGGGAATATTACCCCTATCTCCCCTACTATGTGAATGCAAAAAACTGTTTAAAGAAAATCATTTGAAATTTATAAAATTAAAAAAAAAATTACAGGAAAATGAGGCAAGAAAAGTAATTTCTTGAAATAGCTCCTATCTTTGATCACTACCAACATTTATGATTTTGATGCAAGATGTTAGATATATCCTTCATGCTCTAAGTGGGGCAAAATGTGCCCCGCGAATTGTAGTGTGGAAAGCATAGCGATCAGGCGTGAACCTTTGAAATTCAATAGAGGAAGAACGTAGATAAAGCCTAAATGTATGCTTCCTTAACATGAAATCAGTATGCGCATTTTGCCCCGCTGTATTTCTTAAACAGGTTTTTGTTGGCCTTTTTAATTTTATCAATCTTATCAAGAATATCAATTTTCATTAAGCATATCGACTGTAATATCTTTCCAAAAGCCTAATCCAACATTTAGATGACATTACACTAAAATACCGATTCACCTTGTGGATTAAACGGGAACCTTCCTTAGCATGGGCATTTTGGAAACCAAGTCGTACACACGTAGTTTTTTCTACCGAGCTCGGCTGTGCAAATCTCGGCAAAAATAGGTTTCACTGAGATCTAAGCAAAAGCGACATTTGCCTGCTGAGTCTCGGATAATGCTTAGCTGAATCTCAGCAAACAAATGAAATGTTAGCTGAAATCTCAGTAAAACATTTTTTGCCGAGATTTGCACAGCCGAGCTCGGTAGAAAAAACTAAGTGTGTATATCTCGGTAACCGCTAAAGCGAATTGCACGCAACCAGTACCTTTAGCTTGGGACCGAAGAAACTACCAGAGCTGAGCCAAAAAGTTGAGCACGTTTCATCGAGACCTTCTGGTCAGTTACCTATATGGAATATTGTGCACACTTAGTTTTTTTTTTCTACCAAACTCGGCTATGCAAATCTCGGCAAAAAAAGTTTTACTGAGATGTCACTTTTGCTGAGATCTCAGTGGAACTTATTTTTGCCGAGATTTGTACAGCCGAGCTCGGTAGAAAAAAATAAGTGTGTATGGCTTGGCTTGGCAATTTTAAGTCGGGTTCCTGTCCACATATAAAATAACCATAAAAGTGCCTAACAGGTTCAGTTTAAGGTTATCTTCCGAACTATGAATGATATGGTTAAATCATTTGGGTTACGGTTCGTGTATTGTACATTTTTATTAAAGTGGCGCTCTCGGAGTCATTTTTAAGGAGAATATCATAATCTACAGAAATAGGGTCAGATCACAGCACTGGTGGATTAATTCAGGTTATTTTTATTGTGAAGTTTATTGAATTATACCACCAATCAATTGTTTCTTCATTCTCCAAGGAACAGTATCAGTTTAGTTAGTTTTTAACGTAGTGAAATCTTGATCCAACCAATGTTTTTGGCGTACTGCTCCAGTCGATATTTGAGATGGCTCTATGGGGTTGTACGCAATGGTGACGTAGGACTACGTGGTCTTGTATTATAAATCTTATTTGTTACCTGCAGCAGGAGCTTGTGTTTTGTGTAGGAATAGGAATTTGAGCGGGGTTTATATTCATTAGTATGACGCGCTTGACATAGATGGCCCACAGCAACTCACGAAGAGCTACTGATTCCGATCAATAGCGGTGTGGCTTCTTCCTCCTTCTTGGATGCTCATGTGGACTGCAGCTCGCTGCTTGCAGGCAGTCTTTCGTTGTGTAGGTACTGGAGAACACCGCCACTCACCACGCGGTGATTGAATAAACACCGTTTGGTGAGACCGGATGAAATTTAACTTCGAAATCTGTGTTAGGGAAATCGCTTTTCGCAGGCAATCGGTGATAATTTTAATTATCATAGCAACAGTTGCACATTTGTGCAATTTTCAATAGTAAAGTTTTGAAAACCGATAAAGTCTTAAATTAAACAGATGCGTAGAAATATATCTGATCGATTGGTGATAAAATAATTGAAATTGTTCCAGGGGCTGCTGAGTTATTAACGTTCAAAATCTTTCATAATTGTGTTACAAGTTCCATTTTCGGTTTTCACAAAGTGTACCCCCATATAGAAATCACAGACGTAGTCCTACGTCAAAATCAATGCATATTTTCATTTACATATTTCGATGGTTATTGACAGAATCTTGCTGTAAAATGTGCTCTGCCAGTCGATAAAAGATTTGAGTATGAGATTTGGAAATATTCATTAGCATTCTATTTTCCAGCAAACAATAGAATTTGCCAACATTAAAGTTGTCCTTGTTATTAAAGAGTATCTTAAGCTTTACTTCCGCAATTTTGCATATTAGAAGAATGCAACCATGTACTTCAGGCTCTGAGCGTTTCCGGTCAATTCTTTTAGGGAATCCTCACATTTCAACTTCGTGGTTATATTTTTTTGAACGTGCATCGCTGAATATAGCAATAACTGTTTAATAAAGTTGTAATCAACAAGTTCATAAACTATTGCGTCCGAGATCAGCACCAGGTATCTTCTTCATCGTTTTCGTGCTCAGCGACCATTGAGCTTCTCATTGAATCAATGTAGAACTTCGATTTTTCTTCTACATTGTAGAGTTGGCATAAGTTGATGAAGTAACGAATATTCGTTGTTTTTTATCATCCTTTTGTACGAAGCCTTGGATTGAACTTTGGTTGAATTGTTATTATTTCCTTCTTTGGCACGTCTCTAGATGATCCTGGCTTACACGATAGCACACTATTTCTTGTAGTTCACCAAGTTCTTCATACATATCTACGGTGGGTTTTTATTTTCTATGCTAATCTACGGAAATGCACATGAGTCTATACATATAAAAAAAAAAACAAACCATTCAAAATTCTGCTGAAGAACTCAGTAAGAATACTATTCTAGAGCTCGGTGTCTGTGGGTTTGATTTGCTTCGAGCTACGAACACAACATAAGTCCAATATGGGCTTTGCTCCTCATAAAACGTTTTTTTCTTCTGCTTTTGATGTGCCCCAAATCTGAACTGCATCTGTACAGGTCACGTATTCTGCTTTACACGACCTAAAATGGGATCATCGTGGAAATTATCATATTCATCCAATTTCAGAAAATACGTACCGATTTAACTGTAGAAGACATGCAACAATATGCTTACAACGGTTTGTGCCAGCTTTACAGGAACATTTTAAAACCCAATTTTCGATTCCTTCGGCGATTTTCAGCTCAACCGTAAGGAACATGATTCGGATGAGATGACTGATGAACATAGCCAACAAAATCAACATACTCCGAACATCTGTTTATGTACCCCGATGGATACAATGTGTTGGGCTTCGAATACCGCAGATCCCTCCCGGATCGGTCGAACAGAATCCCCGACGTAATCAATTATATCGACCAACTTTATGTTAATGTCGATTACATCGCGATTATCCGCTGCACCACTGGTAACACATCTGAAAAAAAAAGTCCGGAAGTTAGTGATCATAGCCTGTGTACATAATCCTATTTGAATATTCGAAGCTTTTCTTGATTTAATCTTAATGATAGGTTAAATACGTAAAAGTTTAACAACCGCTGTACATTTTTACATGCAATGAAAAACAAACATCATCTCTGGTGAACACCGGACACCACTGGTTTGCCATCTTCTGCCAAAAAAATGCCAAAAATCCCTTTAACCATTACCATTCTTTGCGCAATTGCAATTCTTGATTGTCACAACAGATTTCCATTTTCTCCTTCACCGGTTTGCGCAGAAAAAACTGAAAGCTAAAAGCTTTAATGCTTCCTGTACCACTACCAAAACGGACTTGTACTCTGCCTTATACGTCGATAACGCCACCAAATATTACTTCTTGCCAAGATTTCAGTAAAATCATTATCAATATTAGAAACTAACATTTTTCTCAATTCTTCTTTTTTGCAGTACATTCGCTGCCCCATCTAACAGTATTATCGCTCTCTGGGTGCAGTAAAGTGACGGACGATGGCGTAGAGTTGATTGCGGAGAACCTGCAGAAGCTACGTGCGCTTGACCTATCCTGGTGTCCGCGGATAACGGACGCTGCCCTCGAGTACATTGCCTGTGATCTGAACCAGCTGGAGGAACTGACTCTCGATCGGTAAGATTTGGATTTTTAAGAATTATGAGATGGTAAGCCAAATGGTGCTTTTAAAAATACGGGGAAATGGGGTAAAACGCGCCAGCAGGGCAATACGCACAAACACAATAATTTGCTTAATATAGACACTATGATCAAATTTTTACTATTGCTGGGGGTTAAAAGCTATTCTGATAAAAATACTATATTCTAAACTCACACAAAAAAAAGTTTATTTGAGTGCCTTTTAACGGTTTGTTAGAGTTTGCATAGGCATAGGCAGAGTTTTCGTAACATTAGATATATTTATCAACTTGCAGCATTACTAGCTTCGTGATCTGTGTGAAAACGATTGTTTTCTGATCACAAATTAGCTTTTTAATGTACCAAGTTCTGAGTTGAGGGTGGGGCAATATGTGCCATGTGGTTGGTAGCTCCCAAGCAGACGTTTAAATTGTTGTTATGAGTTACGTAAAACAGGAGCCACAGAACCTGGGAACCTTATAAAAGTGTTCTAAATGGAACCTAAATGTATACTACCCGCAATAATAACGAACAGGAAAGCGTATAAATGTATGCAACCTAAATAACATCTAGTAAAAAGCAAAACACTTACACCTGCCAGTGGCGCATATTACCCAGCGAAAAATAAAAAAAAAGCTATTTTGAGAAGATTTTTTGTAAAATCCTTTTCTCGTTGTTTCTCATCAAGAAGACATTTCAGACTAATGGACGCGTGGTAATATAATGTTTATTTTTGATCAAAATGTAGTGAAAATCGATCATTTTCTTAGGGGGCGCATATTACCCCGCGTCACCTTAATGGAGGATTATTTGATCAAAATTAACAATTATTATTCTTGAATGATTCTACAATACACTCTACCCACCAATGACATTTATTTTCCCTTATACTAATCCCGATTATAGACATCGATTATATTAGACACGTTATGCTTTTTTGATTACATAATTATTTAAAAGCACTGTTCTGCAGAAACTGCATGAAAAACACTACGTTTACCATTACTAAGAAGAAGGAAAAATGTGGGTTAACTTAATTCGAATTTGCTACCAGAACATTTGTAGAACGTCTCAGCTGTGAGTTCGATTCGCTCTTCGAAGGAAACAGATTTTCCAGGGAAAGAAGCGGCATAGTTGTAGGTACATATCCTGTGACAATGCTTATTATATATGTTTTTTTCTTTTTTCTTAATTAAAAAGACTTTCATAATAATATGATATATTTGCAATCAGCCTTCTCTTGCTCATTATATTGAATATTATACTAGGACCCAAAATTACTAAGGCAGAGTGGAATCTGGCAACCGAGCTGGCCAGCAAAAGGAATAACAGCTTTCACTCTACCAGGGGCCTAAATGTCTAAAGTCTTCAAGGGACAGCCCTCTGGGGTTGTACGAAATGGTGACGTAGGACTACGTGGTCTTATATTATAATAAGTTATATGTTATTTGTGTAGGAATAGAAATTTGAGCGAGTTTCTCTCTGTTTATACTCGTTAGTATGATTTTTTTGTTCCCTTCAAACTAGGGAACAACGAATAGAAGATTAAGAATCACATAGGTGAAGACTAACTAACTCATTTTTTCCTTGTTTCAAGTTATTCCTCGGTTTACCTGGACCGAGGATTTATCCCTATCAACAAGGCATAAAAAGTAACAAGAACTAAGATTGTAACATGTGCATCAAACATGTCAGCAACTTCCCACGCTTGCTATATTTGCTGGTCTCATAAGTGGCACCATGCCGCGACGAGACAAGCTATTCCAAAAAACCTTTTTCAGTCATCGAACCCATTTGAGCAATGCAATGCATAAATGAGTTCGATGAATTGAACGAAACGCATTCAGCAATTCTCACCAAAAGGCAGAAGTGTCAAATAACACTTTGGTTCATTCTTTCCCACTCTTGGTATCGATCACCAACGATCGAGTAAATAGCGAAAATACATAGTGGCTTCAAGTGTCTCCATTCTCAGTACCATATGTAAAATATTGTTCAATAAAACATTCTTAGTTTAACTTTCGAAGCGAAAGGTTCGTTTTTAGTAACTGCAATATCACGTCATGAAAACGTCAAATGGCGAAATAGTGAAAACGTTAAAAGATGCGTTCCTTCGAGTACTAAAAAACCTGTTCCCCTAGTTTGAAGTAGTCAAGACTAGGAATCGGTGGTAGATCTTACATACCTTAACGTACCACGAAAAGGTGATCTACCCACGTTACGGGTGGATTTGTTTGTTTATTTCGACACTTTTGGACAATGATTGACATTTAACACTTTTTCAATAGTTTCTTGTTAAAAATCAACAGTTGGAAAACTTGCGTAGAAATATTTCTGATCGATTGGTGATAAAATTATTGAAATTGGTTCAGGGGCAACTGAGTTATTAACGTTCAAAATCTTTCATAATGTCGTTACATTCCATTTCCGGTTTTCCCAAAGTGTACTCCCATATAGAAATCACAGACGTCATCCTACGTCAAAAGTTCTTTCCATTGTAAGTAAGGTGACATTCTATTACTAACAATGAACATGTTTTCTCTTTCTATCAAACATACGAAAAATATTATTACAAACCTACTTACGGTACGTCCGCTACACAAATAACAGACCTCACTACACCAGTATACCTACGGTACGTACCGGGACCTGCTGACTCCCGAGAAAAGTTACGACCGCCGAAAGCACTCTGCTAATATTTAATTATAGTCATCCATTGAGAAAGCAATTTTCAGCAATCAAAAGCTAACTTGTTCTCTGGATTTTGCTTCCATGGTTCGTTTTTTTTCCTTGTTGTGCCATCACACCTCGTCTGAATTCTTCCAGCAAGAATAACACGTTGTACTTCGTTATATACGACAATTTCAAAGACTGATGGCTGTACGAAACGGTGTCTGATGTTGATGCCGATGGCACCAGATATGAAAGGAAGAGACGAGAGAATATAATTGAATTAATTAATAAATTTACAATTGTATTAAAACCTTGACAAACAGACTTCAATTGACTTGGTCATGGCGACGAAAGTTAAATTTTCTGGTCCTGTAAATACAAAATAACCTGCAGGAGTTGCCTTTACATGGTTTGACCTAGCTGCTATGCCGTGACATGCTTTATTACCGTGGGGTTAAGAGTGGTTCAAGTTGAAATCAGTTAGCAAAAAATTAATTTGGAGTGATTTATGTTTCTTCAATACATTTCTTGTATACAGAGTGATTCGGAGTAACCGTCACTTAATCGCTTGCATGAATTATCGATATCAGCATATTTCAGGTTTACCTTAATTACTACCCACATTTGTCACGAAATTGAATAACAGCTGGCACGCACGTTTTAGTTCCAGCACTTCTGGAGTCCTGGCGATGCGTTTAAGCTTTGATATTGAACGAATTTTCCAAGCATGGTTCCTCTGTAAATATAAATGTTTCATTCACTCTAAGAGATTCCAGCTTCTAAAAGATAACAAACGAATGTATACAGATTTATAACATCCTTCATTTTTCACGTCCATTTCTGCTTGAAATCGAAAACGAATACAATTTCTAATACCAACCGGTCAGCACTCGTGGTTATTTCAATTACCGTGGGAACGTAATTTGTGATTAGCCCCGGTCCCTTTCAAATTTTATCATTATTTATGTAAGGACCTTATATTTGGAATGACGTTTCCCATCCATCTAGTGATGGCCAATTTTCATCCGAATAATCGATTAATCGATTAACGAAACGAAAAGTATATATTTGAAATCGGTTATATCATGCCAATATAAACATTAACTTCTTCAGAGGATCATCACCCATCGTTTCAAACATATGCAGCCCTCTCATTGGTGGAAAAATGACAGCACAGCGAACACAAAATAATCGATTAGTTGTTAATAGAGTAATTAAAAAATGGGACATCTCTGATTTTGGTGTGCTTGTTTTGATAAAAAAAAAGTGCGTAAAATTTCATCCCTACCGAGGGGCAGCAAAACCACAAAATTACCTTGCATACGGGAGGTATTCATTGGATGAAAGAGACCATGAAAGAGATGATGTCATTACAATAAAATAGAAAGTTTTTCTTCCGACTGTTTTATCTAAGTATTCTTCTTTGCTAATACTACTAACAAGCTTGTACACAGTGATACTCTATTGTTTATTGTTTATTGTGTATTGTTTATTGAAAAATTCAACTGACAATTACTGTCTAAATGAATAAAACTTAAACTAAATAGTTACGGTCAACGGTACGGAAAAGACCAAGTAGCCGATGACGAAACACGTCAGCTGATACATTGAAGTCGAACATATAAAAAAAGTTGTTGAATTGCCGGCTGATTGCTCGAATTGGCTCGTGGTTCCAAAAACAGAAAGTCGCGTTGACGAAGAGACCTCTCAGGGGCATACATATTTAGCTGTGACAGCAGTGTTGGGCAGTCAATGTCACCTGTAAGCAGCTTTCCAGCGAACATAGCTTGAGCGACCGTCTGTCACACCTCTAATGGCTCGATTCCCAGGAGACGGCAACGCTCCTCGTACGGTGGCAAGTTCGTTGGGTCACGCCAGTTGAGGAAACGAAGAGCATATCTCACAAACTTGCGTTGAACGGATTCAATTCTAGTGATCCAGCTAGCATGGAAAGGGCACCAAACAACTGAACTTGACTCTAATAAGGATCGCACAAGCGAGCAGTAAAGTGACCTGAGACATAGCGGGTCACGAAACTCGTCGGCAATTTTAAAAATAAAGCCCAATTGTCGATTAGCTCTGGAGATGATGTCATTGTAGTGGATTCTGAAAGTGAGTCTGCAGTCCAAGGTAACGCTGAGATCCTTTATGTGCTCTACACGAGCAAGACAGCGTCCGTAGAGAACATAGTCAAACATGATTGGTTCGATTTTTCGGTGATAGGAAATAATGTTACATTTTCCTATGCTTAGACTCATCAAATTTCTTGAGCACCAGTCAGCAAAAATACCTAACATATTCTGGAGATCCCAGCAGTCCAAGAG